AAAAAAAATCACGTAGACTTGAATAAAAAGCCTTGAGCACATGTTCGTGGACAGTTATATTGCAGTCCGAGTCATCATTTGTTCATCATTTGTAATGCAGGTGGTTTTTCATTAAGCTGTTGTCACATTTTGGCACATTTTGACCCCTTATATTACCTGTACTCATTTATTGTAACTCAGATATAATCGTGCCACCATTAGGCTCTGATTCATTCAGTGTGTAGCTGACTTCGCTAGCTTGCCAAACATGGTTTGCCAGCTAACATGATCATGGCAGATAATCGGTGTTATCAATGGTGTTCATATTAAGCAAAAATAGGTAGTATAAGCAAACAGTCGCATTCTCAAATAATAACGAAGAGCAGTGTTAGCCAAATTAGTTGTGCAGCATGTATCTGGTAACTAGTCACAGTGTGAATAGGAGACACTTTTATGTAGATGAGTGTCTCCTATGTGAACATAAGGTAGAACACTGCGAGGCTTAACCTTAGCTGAGGCTCAGAAAATGCAGATGTGACACATTCGGTCCAACTATTCCTTCTTCTTTGAGAGTTTTCTGTAACCTGTTGTGATACCCTTTCAGGTCTGTTTGGCCCTTTTCCATCCCCATGTAGCACTCCCCTCAATGATATTTCCCAGCATTGCGAGTTACATCTGTTATAAAACCTTTATCTGTGAAATTTGACCCTGTAAATATTATCAGTGCTTTATTTAATTTTGCTATTAGCAATGCTGCCACATGTTTTAAACATTTAATCAGTACTGCAAGTTAAAAAAAATAACCCTTCTGCATAGCATTATAATAATTAGCTTTTAATTTGTCCTACTTGCCTCTAATCCCAGCTGTATGGACAGAGTAGTGTTAATCTAGAAAAAGTGAAGATGGAAATGATTAATTAGCTCAGCTGTGATTCAGACTGAATATTCATCAGGATCACTGGTCCAGCCTGTTATGTGCTTCGAGTTATGTGTTTTCTAAATGTATATTTGAAAGCACATCATACCTCCTGTAGAGTTAGCTCTCTCTGACTAAACGTAGCTAAGTTCAGTTATTAAAACCAGCGAGTCACATGACAAGTGTTTGTTTTTGTTTTTTACAAAAGTGTCTCGATGGACTTTAAACACTTAAAAAGCACAAACAGCTTGCAGTGTCGTGTGGTCACAGAGTAACATCTTGTTCACACTCCACTGATGCGTCTGCTCACGCTAACCACTACTTTATGAGCTGCTGAGTTTACCACATATAACATCTGGTTTGAGGGCTTCCTGTGTATTTCCAAGGACTTGAGAAGCACTAACTTTGGGCTTCTAAGAATCATGTGGTTGGTGTACTGTTCGGGGGAGCGCTGACAGCTGTATGCACTCTGAGCTGAAGCTGGTGATCGGGTGTGATCAATGGGTGGTAAGCCCATCCATTGAACTGTGGGTTTTGAGATTGTCCATTTCTATGGCGACCTTACCACACTGATTGTGTTTGTGCTGGATTTGATTTGTATAAAGATGATGAAGGATGAATGCTGCTCATAAAAGTTGTCTTAATACATAACTGAGAACTTTCCAGCACTTTCCAGGTATGTAGAAAGACAAAACCTCTGTGGACTTAGCAGTACAGTAAAGGAAATATGACATGTGTGTGAACACATTAAGTCTCACCCCTGTTTTAATACCATTAGATGGGCAATGAAGTTGTTGTCTCTGTCAGCCTTCAATTCCACCTGCATCAACCCAAACCTAACCACATTGTTTATTTGGCCTGTTATCAATTTGATTTATGTAGCGCCAAAGCAAAAACAACAGTCACCTCAAGGCGCTTAATATTGTAAAGACCTTACTCTAATATAGGGAAACCCCCAAAATTAGACAACTCCCTGTGAGTAAGGATTTTGGTGACAGTGGGAAGGAAAAACTTCCTTTTAACAGGAAGAAACCTGCAGCAGAACCAGGCTCAGGGAGGGGCGGGGCGGGGCCATCTGCCACGACCAGTTGTGTATTGAGGGGAGGGACAAAAAGACATGCTGCAGAGGACAACCAGGGATTAATAATGATTCTTAATTAATTACAGAGTGGTGTAGAAACATATGGTCAGTGAAAAAGGAAGGCTCAGTGCATCATGGGAATCCCCCAGCAGCCAGGGCCTATTGTACCATAATTAAGGGAGGATTCAGGGTCACCTGATCTATAAGCTGAACGATATGCTTTACCAAAAAGGAAAGTCTTTATCCAAACTGGAAGCTGGTTCCACAGAAGAGGGGCCTGAAAACTGAAGGCTCTGCCTCCCATTCTACTTTTAAATACTCTAGGAACAACAAGTAGGCCTGCAGAGCGAGAGCGAAGTGCTCTAATAGGGTGATATGGTACTACAAGGTCATTAAGATAAGATGGGGCCTGATTATTTAAGACCTTGTATGTGAGGAGCAGGATTTTGAATTCTGGATTTAACAGGAAGGCAGTGTGGGAGAAATGTGCTCTCTCTTTCTAGTCCCTCTCAGTAATCGCTGCCAGGCTAAAGGTCTGTAGTGCGTAGTCGACTCATAGAGACTGAAGCAATAATTAATGGTAGGACTTCATTAAAGTAAAAATGGTTTTAAAAAATAACCACTGTTCTTTCTGTGCTGCTTTCTGTTCTATATTGCTTAAATTGAAAAACCTACATATACATGCTGGGTTTACAAAGGATATAAATCTCATTTATCAATGAATACACACTCGTGCAGATTATAAAATCATTTTAAATACATTTAAACTCTTCTACTAACAAATTAAAATGTGTCATTTGCATTTTAAGTATTTGCATGGAGTCTTTGTTTTGTTGTTTTGTTTTGTTTTTTCTGTGGAAATGACCAAACTGTCCAAACCCCACTTGTCCTCTGAGTGGCTTCTGCTTAGGAGGGTTGTTGGAGATTTTCCTAATCTGAGTCCCGCTGTGGTCGACTGGGTTCAGCAGCGATCGTGCAGCCCTTCATTCACTGGGTCAGGTGGTCAGTCATTCTGTAAGGGAGGGGCGAGAGACTGCAGCGCCATACAGGTGTAAAGGGAGGGAGCAGAGTGAAGTCACGCCATACAAGCTGGGTGTCGTGTGTGCGCGTGTGCGACTGGAAGGAACTAACAAATGTGCAACAGCTTTAATATTGATGTTGTTTTATGGTCATTTTTGTGTTTGTTTCTTTGTACTGAACTGACTATTATGGGGTTGTTCAAGCAAAACAAGACGTTTGAAGAGGTCGCCTCAGTAAATACGCAAAACTGTACATATCAATTAAGAATTCATGTTTTTTTAATTGATTGAAATATAATAAAAATAATGTTTCTTGCACTCCTAGTTTCATTCACCTAGTGAGGCATTCTTTATGCCTTTTATTAATTTTGGGGTTTATGATAAGTAAATAAATCTGTCTTTTTTATTATTTCAAATAAATTCAGGGTGAAGAAGAAGCTGATCAAAATACTTAAACCAAACCTGATGGTTTCCATCTTCTATAATTGTAGTCTAATAATTGTACAAAGGCGGTTCTTCTCTGCGTCTTGTTTGTTGTGTCTCTACGTGAAGAAAGCTTGTGACTGCGTGTGTGTGTTTGTGTGTGTGTGCTAATGTGACTGTTCACTTACATAACTTTGCTCTGCTAAAAATAGCATCTCAGAGCTGAGCTGTCACTCTATTCCAAAGTGCTGGGAGTATAAATACATGCAGTGAGTGAGTTTTCAGCTGTGCGGCTGTCTGAAAGATGAGCTCCTACAGTTTAATCAGTGCTGCATGTGCCCGCTCTCTACAGTAACCTGTAAAATGCCTAAGAACTCCTCACCTAATATTAGGGGCTAATTTTGGCAGGAGCCTGAGTGATATTAGACAATATTTGCCAATATTTTTGTATTGGTAAATTGCCAGTAAGTGAAAGAAGTAAAGAACAGACAAGAGAAACACCCTTCAACCCTTCATAGCTCCTCCAGAGGGCGCTCTGTAACTAACTCTGTAACTTCCTTGTTAGCAGCTGGTGTTTGGCACAAATACATCCAGCCAAGCCCATCAGAGTGAGACGAAATGTTTAAACTACATTATCATAGTTCGGACTACACATTACAAATGTTCAGAAAATCTGTTTGTTTGATTTGTCCCAGAGGATATTGAGTTAATATAAAAATATCATCACACAGAGGCAGACATTTTGCTGAATAATGTTTGACACAGACTGTTTTAACGTCACAGAGTTACATCCACCAAACACAGATTACTCAGCACAGTGATTACCAAGCACACTGTCCTGATTACTGCAGAGAGCGCGCACTGTTCTACACCTGGATGGACAGATGAGTCGACTCCAGCATTTTACATGGAGATTTTCAAAGTCTCCTTTAGCTTTTGTAAATGGTGGCACCTCTTTCTTTT